TTGTCCCAGAGCCATTTATAACTGTGACGAAAAATTAAGATCTTCATAAAACATCAGGACTGTATTTAGTCAAGGAGAAAGGAAAAACTTATATGGAAATGAAAATCCATCTATATTTAGTATCAGCTTAATAGGATAACGTGGCAACGGTTCTTTTTCATTGTTCACACTGATGGGATGTTGCATTGTTTCATTATAAAGAACTTTTTAAAATAAATCAATACTTGCTGCTTTTGCAAATAAGCACTCCATGGGCAAGAACAACAATTATTACTTCAGTAACTCCTAACGTGTAGACTTAGTGCAACTGTAAAACAGCTGGCACTCTGCAGACTTTTTGCTCTCTAATAAAAAGAGTCTATGCCATTGGCTAGTTGTGCCTATTTGCAGAACAAGGAGACTTTTTTACTATTGATTCATAATAAGGTTATGTTATTGGAGACATTTCCATTTTGTGAAGTACAGCATACTATCTCCAATATAAAATGTAGAATAATATTGTCCAAACGGTCCTAGAGGTTTGGAATTCAGTTTTGGAAGGAAGTTAGGGTCTTGTCAACACTAACAAATACTACAACTAGGTTATAGCCAGATTAAAAATGTATTCTGTCATATGCGGTGTGGAGTTTGAAGGGAGGAGCCACTACAGATACTGCCTATTTAGAGACTAGTTTTGAAATTGTTGTTCCTTGTTTCACCAGTAAATCATTACAAGAAGAATTTCATGAATAAATTAAGTATAAACCCAGGCTATTGCATCTAGATACCAAATTTTCAAAAAGTATTCTCCAGTTTTTATATGCTAGAATCTCACCATCCATGAATAAAAAAAGCTGTACCTCTGTCAACTGTGCATACATATGTTCATAATAAAGTAACCGCTGGGCTTTTGTAGTTGTTTTTTTCAAAGTTGTACTCAACATCTGGACTGGCAGCAAGTGCCAGAAAATCAAGGATTTCACTTGAAAACAATGAAAATTTTTTCATAACACAATGGTCATAAACTCAAGACACATTTGTCTAAAACCTTTTTTTCAGACAAAGACCATCCTCCTTCCCCCCTCCCCACAACCCAGCCCACTGCCTGAAATTTCTTTTTTTACTGCAATTTTGTCTCTATTGTCTGTACACAGTAGCTGGGATGCAATCATCACATTTACAATGCAGTGTTTAAAGACAGTATCCCAAATTTCAGTAATATTCAGTCACAAGTCATCTCCATGATAGAAAAACAATTATCCATAACTTGCCCATTCATAGATTTAAGAAGAAAAATATTTGAAAAAGAATGGATTGAAAAATACTGTTAATATTTCTAATAGCTTTGGCTTCATAAAAAGCTTTGCTTTTTCATAATTGTTTCCAATTCTATTAGTCTTCAAGGTATCTGTTAAGGATTTGCTGAAGTCACTGCTTGTAATAAGGCCTATTAATATATTCATTTTCTCTTTCTAGTATCATTTTTCTGTTCCACTTCCATTATCTGACTTCAGCATGATTTACTTTGATGATAAAATGAATGTCTTTGCCTTTCAGATAGTTTAATTCATTCACGACTTTTTAATTCATAATTTCACATTCAACTGTGACAGAAGTTATTTTCATGTCAAATTGACTTCCCCCTCCCCCTCCTTGCTTTTTCGATACCAATACAGCAAGTTGCCATCCTTAAAAATTCCCTGTTCTTCTAATGTCTTTATTTTCATCTATGGTTCTTCCATCTGAAGGTACCATTAGCAGCAATAACCTTTTCCACACATGAGATTTGTTGCTCAAGGCCCACTATTTGAAATTTAGCGCGTACTCTTACCAACTTTATCTCGGGTATGCACACTGTATTTGGGAGACAATGCTATTTAAAGCACCACATATATTATATTGTTTCTAAATATTAATGGAAGAAGGAAATTTATCTTGATGCTGAATGAGGACTTATGAGACATGTAGAGAAAGGTATTCATAGTTTTAAAGCCAAAGGCACCATGGGAGACATCTACTCTGGCCTTCTGCTTAATACAGGTCAGTAATCTCTACACCAAGCCCATACCTTCTTTATGTAGTGCAGTTAACCTTCTGAACAACATCCAATCTTGACTTTGTTTTCTAATCTGAATTTTTCGAGCTTCAGCTTCAAGCTATCAAGTCTTTCAATAAGGACTAGAAAAAAGGCTTAGCCATCCAATACAGGACTAGATTGGACCCCCAGTGCCTAAGTAAAAATTTGCAATCCAAATAAACACTATCCCACAACCACCTGAACCCAGGGTGCCTAAATTCACTAGCTGCCTCCTTGTTTGAATGGAAAATTCCTTGGGCACCTCCAATTCTAATTCTGTACTTGCCCATAGCTGGCCTACTCAGAGCAGCTAGTCACCCAGTGTCACCCTTTCTGGGAACCAGACACAGAGGACGATAAATAGAGGTGGCAGTAGGAGTGGCATTGCTCGCCATCTTGTACATAAAACATAGGGTGCCTATACATGTGTTCTGATGAGTTCTAATTAGAACACATTGGAGCAGACTCAATTAATCAAGTCTGCTCCATGTTCCAATTAAAATGCTTTAACATCGCCTCAACATCATGTATATACAAGTCCCTGAGGGTTTAAAAATAGCTGCTGGGGTGCTTTAACTAAAGCTCATTCAATGAACTTAAGTCAAAGTGTCCCATGGCCATTTTTAAATGTGTTGGGGCTTAAAACACACGATGTTGCGGCATTTTAATGAAAGCGATTCTCTAGGAAACACTCTTATTACAACGCCTCACCCCCACCCTTGAGCTCATGTATAGGCAGCCATACCGATTAGAACTCCTGCCCAGGAACTGGAAGACCCAGTTTTGTCTTCCTTAGCCTGAAGAAGTTCACACCCACATACATTTCCCACCTTGAAGGAGAATGTCCTTATTAATAGGCTAGGAGAGAAGGGGGCTGCAGCCCTCCTTTGAACTTGGGCCACTGTGCAGCTAAAAAGAACAAGCAAGGGGGAAAAATAATTTTATACACTGTAGGGGTTAGGGCAGTCAGCTGGGAGGGAGGAGTCCTGGGCTCTGATCTGTGTTCCAATGCTATTTAAGCAATTTGCATTAAATAGTCACTGGATAAAGAGTATGAAGAGTATAAAGAATCCAGAGGTCCCCCTTCCCAGACGGGTATTCTAATCACTTGATAGCTGTCATGCTTTCTTCTACACTCTCTTTTTGGCCCATACATTTTGTACTACTCCCTGCAGAGCAGAATAGCTTCAGATGGAGGAGCAGTACACCTCACCCAGCCCTAGTTCTAACCTGGCAGTTAATACACTTTCCTGTGAAATGCAAGATATTGATTTGAATCCTCCTCAGGCTGAGGACAGCATTGACCTTACATCCCTCATATCCCGAGTAAGCGTTTTAATCCGTAAGCTATTCCACTAGAGGTGAATGACACCACCACCACCTCCAGCCATTTGTTAAAAAGAAAATTATGTCTGTTCAGTTCTTCAAAAGAATAGTTGTAGGCATTAGCCCTTGGAGAAAACTCTGCTGTGGCTCTTGAATGGACGAGGGCACCTGCCTGCAGCCCTGATTCATGCATCTAACCACTAAAAAGGGTTGACAGCTCAGATATGTCCCTGCACTTCTGTACTTATCATTTCCAACTTGCCTGCTCTTGGCATCTCAGTGCTTAAAGGCAACTGGACATGATGCTAACCACATCACTCCCATGGATGCCTTAAGTATGGTAGGTCAAGGGCCATAAGGTACAGATTGACCTTTGACTTCTAACTGATGGTCTCTTCCTTGTAAGTTCAAGTATCTCATTCATCTTAGCTACAGTTTTGTACTGGGAGCTCTTTCAGTTACTTATCTACCATGACCCTGTAAGTCCTTTTTAGTTTTATTTCATTCTCAGTAGAGACGGGCAGTTAGCCATGTTAGTCTGAAGTCAGGCAGAAGGCAGGGCAGGGTGGAACCTTGAGGTGCCTATACACATGCTCTGGGGTGGGGGACATGTTTTAAATACAGCTGGTCCAAGAGCCACTCTAATTAAAATGCCATAGTGTCTTGTATATTCAGCATCCCGCATTTCAAAGTGGCCACAGGGCCGCTTTAACTAACTAAAACTCATTGAATGAGCTTTAAAGTGACCCTGCAACCATTTGAAACATGGGATGTTGAATAAATGAGACACTGCAGCATGCTGGAGTGTTCCAATTAAATTGCTCCAGCAGACTTGATTGAGTTCTGCTTAATCTAATCAGAACGCATCAGAGCACATATATAGGCACACCTTAGAGACTAATAACATCTGACGAAGTAGGCTGTCATTTATGAAGCTTATGCCTCTCTGAACTAGTTAGTCTCTAAAATGCCACCCTGACCTGCTCCTGCCTGACTTCCTTCTTAAATAAAGCATCTCAAAATATACGTGTGACTATTTTCACTAAAATCAGTATCCAGTAACGCAAAACTGGCGGGAGAAAAAATTTAAATCAATTTAAATCCAGTTCACACTAGTCCTTTGAATGAGCTCCTTATGTGTTCAGGGAAACAAAAATGGCCAGAGCCAGGGATACAGATAAATATCAAGAAAGCACATGAGCCATTTCATAGTATATGTTCCAAGTTCCTCCCCAGATCTTGCAGTTTTTATTCTCTGTTTCAGTTAGTTACATTTCCATTGGTTTCCACCAGGACTGTACATGCACCTTGACATGTTCACAAGAGTTCCACAATACAGAGTTTCACAACTGGGATAGGTCCCTACATTGAGGATACCAGGGTGACAGACAGATTCTGGAGAAATTCTCATCAAGTAGGATGGCAAGAACATAATTCTTACACTGTACTGCTACAACGCATCATAAACATAGAATAGACTAGATCAATTTACCACAAAACTCACAAAAAATAATCAAAGAATCTCTCTCTTATGCAAAATATACATTTTTAGGATATAATTTAATACATATTTTATATTTATTGATGCTGCTTCTGCGACATTTTGAATTAAAAAAAATATTTTTGCTGCCAGAATTTTATTTCTCATATACATATATTTCTGAGGTAACAATGAAAAAAAAACCTGTGAGTTGTGAACATAGTCTATGATGTTTGTCTGCAGCCACATTTCTCTTATCAAAGTGAAGAGTAAACTTAAAAATTGGCATGTACACTAGAATTTGTAAAAATATAGCTATGGCAAACTGAGAAAGCAAGGACTTGTAGCAAAACCTATTCTGTCCATGTTCATGGCCTTTGCAAAAAATACCATTGCTACGAGGAGGTTAAAATAGATGTAGTTTACATCACTATCATTATAAGTGTGTCTCTTTATATAATCCACAGCACAACCTACTGCAGGAACCAGGAAGAATACACAGACAGAAGTGTGTGGGCCTTTGCATGGAGTCTTAGAGAAGATGACTTTCAATTCAGCGTTCCTTGACATAGATGGCAAAAACTGTTATTCCATGCACACACGTTTTATTTACAGCTGACTCATCAACAGCAACTTTTCATCCCTTCTACTGGTAGCAGCAATTGAAAGCAGTCCTTAATCTTCATTAGCAAGTTCTGCTTCCCATGTGAAGTCTCAGTGACCTCTTCAAGGTGCAAGTTGCTTATCAGGGTCCATTCAGGAGCAGTAGTCTCTTTCCAGTACAGTCCTTGGTATGGCTAAATTCCATTGTCCCTTTTTCAGCAGTCAAAAATCCATGATAAATTCTGTACAACACTGTAGTCAATATAACAGCAGCACCAGACAGTGTATTAATTCCTTTGCTAAAAGCTGTTTGCAATTATCTTTCTCTCTATTGACAGTATTTTACCAAAACTAAAATCAATGTACATTTGATAAATACATTATTGTACAAGAATTTTGACATGCAGGCCATGCTATAGGACTAGGCTATATACAGAAGAATATGTTACATACTCCACAATAAAGGGCATGTTTTCTTTTCCTAACAAAAAATAAACATATGACAATCAGGGGTTATTCAACAAATCTCAAAAACCTCTTATGACTTTCTTTTCCTTGTATATCTACGGTTCAATATTGTTGGGTGTTTATCCTCACCAGCTCAAAATATCAAATTTACTACTGTATTTGTACTGGTGTATTAACGGGTTTCTCTCTTTTTAAATCGAAAGAAAAAAGCCACTAGAAGGGATACAGTTTGAATACCATAATGAATGCTGGTTGCTAGGTAGCAAAATTGATGTTGCTGCAGTAGGCAACCAGTTAGAACAACAAAACAGCCAAATTCCACATTTCAGAAATCTTCAAAGTTCCCACATTAGATAGTCTAAAGGTTATTAAACCTGCACTTGAAATATATATTGTCTATACCACAAAGGGGAAAATGAGAAAATGTACTTAGCAGTTAATCTAAAAAGATGGGGCATTTTAAAAGGTATCTCTGTACTTTATGAAGACAGATGAAGAATACAGTAGACATGTTACAAAATAGACAGACAGAAACAAACACAGAAGACAAAGCACCTAAAAACATTGACTGAAGGAATTTGTGAAGCTCATGATCCAGAGGTTTAAAGGCTGGTCAACACCCCCACCCCCATCTTTCAAACTATTGCCCTTCTACAGTTGCACAGCAAAAAAGCAATATTTTTCTTGCTTTTACTTGGTACACAGCCTCTGAATATGTTCAAGAATGCTGGAGCAGAAAAAAAAATACTATAGTACCAAGCAGCACTTGCTAGCTGAAAATTGCAAGCCTGGATGGCGTTTACCTTTCTTTCATGTTTTGTGCCTTCCCCAAGTCATTAAGAAAGAGATCTGGCCTCTGCTTGCGTGTAACCAGTAATGACAACCTCTTTGCAGTTATCTGTGTGCAAACAACCAGAGACATTCAGAGCTCTGATACAACAATCTAGTACCAAAGTCAATTAATCAAGAAAGAAAACTATTTAAAAACAAGTATTTAAAAAAATTAAAAGGTTAAATAAAGAAAAACAATCCCACATGCAGACCAGTTCATTAACTGCTTTCATTTCAGCAGGATGGTACAACGCAATAACACACATCCAGAGCCATCTGTGGTCCCAATAATCCGCAACACTGCTTTCAGAGAGATAATGAAGACAGGATGGTCCATGCAAATGATCAGACTCAAGTCACATTGTGTGCCACCAAGACAGATTCCAGACATCTTCCGAATGGATTAATCACAAGAAATGAACGTCCAATGGAGTGATCATTTGGAAGCACATTGTTTTAGCTATCTCCCTGAAAATATACTTATTTATTGAATGTACTGGCCAATGGAGTCCACTAACTGTCCTTTTATTGCCTTGGTAAAGTAGGACAATATAGCAGATATAGAAGGAGAAGCACTACTTTAGATCATCTTAAAAGCCAAGATAAAAATCTTCAGCTACCCAAGTGGCATTTCTTACTACTGACAGTTAAATCATGCAGGATTTATACTGTATTTATGGAGCCTACAGTTAATGCTACATTTATATCCATTATGTGGTAAACAGTATTTTGAATTAATACTATGTAGCCGATTGATGCCATCTGGTTTACAAGATAGATGGGATGGGAGATCGAGAGCGTCTTAGAGGACAAGGTGAGCTGTAGGGTGATGTTACTGGAGACAGCCTCAGAGCATTGCCTGCCAAGCCAGCAATGTTGTTTAAGCTTCGGGATTTTTCGTATCCTTTTATGAGAAAATGCACAGACATCAGTTGAATTCAGCCAGAAAATAGACAAAGACAAACAATACAATGCAATGTAACCAAATGTGCTATTTTGGGTTCAAAAGGAATTTGCCTGCACAGAACTTAATGTTGAGGCAGCCTGTCAAAAGGAAATGAAGGCATATTAATCCAGCTATCCTTTCAAATGAGTCTGAACAAAGCCATCGCAAATCATATGTACTACATAATTGTAGTCCTATTATTCAGGCTAGTAGGCTGTATTCAACCCTGACCTATGTTCAGTAAAACTTCATTGGCTTCAGTTATGTCATATTATTGTAAGACAGGGAATTATTTGGTCTTGCATAAAGTAGTATTGAGTGATTTCTGTAAATTGTATTATCTGGGTAAATATATTCCAGATTTCATTAGAGCAAAACAGATTATAACATTTTAAAATCATATACTCTATATTAAATCCAATGTCTAATATGAGCAGATTTTCCTTAAAACTGAGAAGACTAATGAATTATACCATGCAACTATATAGTCAAGCATATAGAGGATTATATGATACTACGTTGAAGAAATCCATCTTCAGAAATATTAAGGCTAACATTAAAATATAATAAAGATAATTGAGTTTGATTTATTTGCCATTTGATCTGCAAAAGTAGAATCATAATATTTGCAGTCCTTATCCAAATGATTCTAATGAAAAATATAAAATGACTGCTTGTAAGACTGAAATGATGAAAAAATTATTTTTAAATTGGGCAGACACATGAAAAGAGAGAAACTTCTTGCAATTTGGATGGAACACTGTGCTTGCAGACATTTCTATTCACACAAACTGTCGACTCAATCTGCCCATTTTATGCTGAATAAAGATTTGGCTTAAGTTAGTAAAGTCTGTGCTTTAAACCACAAGGAAAGCATTGTTATTCAATGTTTCCCTATCTTCAAACATAAATATATCTAATTTTACATACTAAATAATTTAACGAATTAAACCATGAGTTACCTATTGATTTGTTCAGAACCTTAAGGATATCAGCAAGAAAAAGGATCATGAAACCCAAACGCTTACAGGCAATTACTTCCGATTTTAGCTGAAATTTCCCTGTGTAGATCCTATCCTGAAAATACTAATGTGAATGCTTAACTGTAGGCAGATGTAGTCCCACTGACTTCATTTGGACTACCTGTTGAGAGTTAAGAAAGTCTGTATGTTTACAAGACTGGGGCATTGCTGTACAAGGTATTTCGCTATGACAGTCTCGCTGAAGAAAACTGAAAATGTAAATGAAAAAATGAGCATTATGTTAGATCTTACTGGGGTTTTCTTATTAAAAGTTATCTGTTCAACTTCCTGAACTTCAGTATTTGGTCATATTTGTGATGGTTTAAATTTGTATCATATTCAAGACAAAGTAATTAGCAGTTTTAGGAAAGTCAGCTCTTAGTTTCTCTCCAAAATACATGTAGTTTAGAACAGAGATTGGGTCTTTGGCTTAATACGGGGCCTAGTACATTGAAAGCCATACTGAAAACAAATAAATAATAAAATTTATTAACATTTTTCCCTATTCAAGACCTCTTAACTGATATTCTGAGGAATTGCTTAAAATAAAATCTGTTAATCACTGGATACGTCTACACATGCCACTAAGGTGACATTGTTACTCTGCCATGATTTTGTATCATGGCGCAGTAACACTCCAGCCTGCGCTGGACAGTTATTTTTAGCAGCTACTTTGCCATAGCAGCATGCTACAGCAGGGGAGCGTGATCGTAAAGTAGCTGCTGGTCACATGTAGATGCCTGCAGACACTACCTTGCCGTAGCGCATTGCTATGGTAATGTAGTGTCATATGTAGATGTGGCCAATGTCTGCTAATACATCATGCAGTGTTATCTCCAGATTGTAAGATCAGGTTGGACTGTGCTGCTTGAGAAACCTCCGATACATTTCAAATTCATAAAGTTTCTTTCAGTATTTGAACAATTAGAGAGTTTGAGTAAAAAAAAATCTAAATTTTTAACTCATATTTGTCCAATTCTTGTGGAAAGATATTCCTGGTAATATGGTAAACAAAGAAGAAATTAAATGTCTTTCATACAGCTAGAAGAAATAACAAGTATATTATTTGTGTTATGTTTCTTTTCCTCCTTCTCCCTTTTTTTTTTTTTTTTTTTTTTTTTTTTTTT